ATTCTTTTGCTTAGTACCTTGGGTTTTCTTAAACTTTATTCATATTCTAGCAGATGAGCACCCATGCCAGTAGCTATACTGGTTTTTGCTTTGGTCCTAAACTAAATACTGTAGTGCTGCCATATTAGTAATGCTTCTCAAAGTACCGGAGGCACTCTCAAGACTCTCCAAAAGACTAGATTTTGTTTTATGGATCTGAACGAGAGATGTCCATGTTGCTAAAATAACTACAGGGTGGTCTAATGACATAATATCCTTTGTCTATTTTTTGCCTAATGCGTTGCATTTTTTAAAAGTTTATCGGTACTCTAGCAGATGAGCACCCATTCCAGTGGCTATGCTGGTTTTGCTTTTCTCTCTCCAGACACTCATGAAAGCTAGATTTTGCTTTATGGCTCTGAATAGCAGATGTCTGCGTAACTAGAATGACTACGGGACTAATGACCCAATATCCTTTGACTATTCTTTTGCTTAGTCCCTTCGGTTTTCTTAAACTTTATCCATATTCTAGGAGATGAGCACCCATGCCAGTAGCTAAACTGGTTTTTGCTTTTTTCTTAAACTGAATATTGTAGTGCCATATTAGTAAGACTTCTCGAAGTACTAGAGATGCTCTCCAGACACTCCAAAAGGCTAGATCTTTTTTTATAGATCTGAATGAGAGCGGTCCAAGTAACTATTCGATCAACTGGTGTCTGTGCTGTCACTGCCAGGCATCAGGTCAGGCCCCCTTCACTGGGGACTATTGACCCAATATCTTTCCGGCATTTTTTGCCTAGTGGGTTGGGTTAATTTTTGACCTTCACAGATACTCTAGCAAGGAAGCACCCAGGTCAGCAGCTCCATCGGGCTTTGCCTCCATCTCTCCAGACACTCCGGAAGGCTAGAGGTTGTTTTATGAATCTGAAGGAGGTCCCTGAGTGTCTCAGTATTGCCAACTCTTCTGATTTTTGGCCTGGTTCTTGAAAAGTCTATGCTTGGGGAATGTGAAAACCTTAGCTCTTTCTTTGATGTCTGTCTGTCTGTCTCTCTCTCTCTCTATATATATATATATCTATATATATATCTGGATCTCTCTGTCTCTATATATATAATCTACATAGCTATAGATTCATAGATTGTAGAGTTGGAAGGGACCCCGAAGGATCATTGTGTCGGACCCCTTGCCCCTGGCAGGAAAAGGACCAAGGTCAGACAACCCCAGCCAGGTGCCAATCTAGTCTCCTCTTGAAGACCTCCAAGTTAGGTGATAGCACCACCCCTCTTGGCAGCCCGTTCCGATTCTGGCCACCCTTACTGTGAAAAATTTCTTCCTAATATCTAACCTGAATCTACTCTCCACTTGTTTGTACCCATTATTCCTAGTTACTCCTGGAGGTGCTCTGGTAAATAGCACACCTCCAACTCTCTGTTGTCCTCCCTTGATAAAGATATAGGCTGCTACGAGGTCTCCCCCCCTCAGACGTCTCTTGTGAAGGCTGAAGAGATCCAGCTCCCTCAACCTCCCCTCGTAGGGTCTTGCACGGAGGCCACTAATCATGCGAGTTGCACTCCTCTGCACCCTCTCCAGATCCTGTCCCCCTCTGGAAGTGCGGCGCCCAAAACTGGACACGGTACTCCAACTGCGGCCCTCCCTCGATCTGTTGGTCATGCATCTGCTAATGCACGACAAGGTGCGATTGGCCTTGTTGATGGCTTTGTTACACTGCCGGCTCATGTTCATCTTGGCGTCCACTGTGACTCCAAGATCCCTTTCAGCCACTGAGCTGCTGAGGAGGTCTTCCCCTAACCTATAGGTGTGCTGGGGATGCCTCCTCCCTAGTGGAGTGCCTTGCATTTGTCTTCATTGAATTGCATCCTCCTTCGTTCTGCCCATTGATCCAACCTGTCCAGATTGGCCTGTATTTGCTCCCTGCCCTTCGGCGTGTTAACTTTTCCCCATAACTTGGTATCATCTGTGAACTTGGACAGGGTGCTTTCTGCACCCTTGTCCAAATTGCTGATGAAGATATTAAATAACACCGGCCCAGGGACTGAACCCTGCGGGACCCCACTCCCCACCTCCCTCCAGGCCGAGAACGACCCCTCCACCACCGCTCTCTGGGTGCGGTCCCGAAGCCAGTTGGCCATCCCTGACTGGTAAGACTGACCGGCCTAAAGTTACCCGGCTCCTCCCTTCTCCCCTTCTTAAAAATGGGCACCACATTGGCCCTTTTCCAGTCCTCATCTCTCTCTCTGTATATATATGATACATATATAACTTTATATAAATACATAAAAACTTTATATATGATACATATATAACTTTATATAAACTTGATATATATAAATAATTGATATATCTATAGATCTCTCTCTCTTTCCATATATATATATAATCTATATATCTATAGATCTCTTTTTTCTCTCTATATATATCTATAGATCTCTCTTTCTCTCTCTCTATAGATATATATAATCTATATATCTATAGATCTCTCTCTTTCTATGTATATATATAATCTATATATCTATAGATCTCTTTCTTTTTTTCTCTCTCTAATCTATATATCTATAGATCTCTCTCTAATCTATACATGTAGCTCGATATAGATATAGATAAAGATAAAGTTTTTCACATTCCGGAAGCGTAGACTTTTTAAACACCAGGTCAATACTCCCGGGCGGGCGCTGGCACCAGGGCCGTGTCACAGGACTGTTCGCCCCGCGGTGTCGGGCTCCCTGGACTACTCTTTTGCTCAGCAGGTTGTGCGTCTTATTCCTAGGACCGACCCTCTCATCCCAGTGGCCGCGCCGGTTTCCCCGTCGCCCTCCCCAGACCCCGCACGCCCCTGCCTGGGGGCTCCCCGCGGCTGCCCCGCGCCGGGGCGGGG